GATGCCAATTCTGAAGTTGCGGCTCATTTGACGAGGCCCGGTCACACCTTCAAATTTGATGAGGTCGAAAGTCTCACAAGAGGTGACAATCGGGTGAACCGATAATTGCTTGAGTCATGGTTCAGGGGCCCCCCAATCCATAAACAAGTGCAACAACTTGCCCAATCCATATTCGGTGCTGAGACTTAATTTGGCCGAAGCAAGTCGCCACTTGGGGAACGGACAGGCCACCGTGTCATCCTACGCCAACACCGGAGGGCCAGATGGCCGAGCAATCACCACGCGTGATGAAAGTTCAGCAGGTCAGAGCCCGTTCAACAAACTACCAACACGCAAGAAGACAATTACGGTTAATTTTCGTTGTACGTTTGCAGCAATGACTGCGTCCTATAAATACTGCAAACTTCTCTGCATACGCTACCCGCATCTGCCATTGCTCTCTGATTATGTCTCTGATGATGAATCCGCGACCGATCTCGAAACTTCAGGCGAATAAAAGTATTGTTCCAGCGATCGAGTTGTCTTCTGAATTTATTCCTGGGACTTGCATATTTGCTCGTATTAGCAATAACTACTTAATCGGTATAATTTCCCCTATTGCTTTCCCATGCTCTTCTCCATTCGAATATATTTTATTTTTCTAAAAACATTTGGTAATAAATCACACCTTCAACTTTCATATTTGAAAAAGGCATGTTTAGGTTTTAAAAATGTAATGAGGTTTTTTAAAATCATTTAATGTCCATTCAAAGAGCCTTTTAATCGTCCGTTTATTAATAATCTTGTGCAGTTTATGACATAGTCCACATCAATGACAGAATTTTATGAGCCTTAAATGACATTCTCCCAATTACTTTGGGGAATGCCTACTTTTAAGTATGCTGGCCTGGCGTTTTAGGATTCTCGCTCGAGGCAGTCATTAGGGACAATCGCAAATTTGGTGTTACATGGATTTTATTGTAGAATTTATTAGAATGGGTTAGGAAATCTACTGTACACTCTCCAACGGGGAAAAAGGTGGACGATGGACGCACACGCACACACACACACACCAAAGACCAAGAACCCCTAAGTGGTTGTTCCACAGGTCTCCCGCGCAAGTTACTTTCACATTCATTGAGCCTTCTGTCGCATATCTACTCACACTAACTCCTTCCCTAAATCATTTGCTACTTGTACACTAAGTTGGTTTATTCGAATTTTCCTTTTCTCAACTGAGAAGTCGTAGTTATTTGGACTCTAGTTTGTTCAGAACAGCATTTGGCGAGTGTACACTTTCGGTAAATTCTCCTCAGGCCATAGGAGGTTTACATTTAAACAATCGATCAATCGTCTTTCCTTAAAAGCAGAAGCCAATCAGAGCGCGGATTAGTGCATGCGCTAAGTGACTGTGGGCCACGCCAGATGTGGGATTTGCACAAAACTCTTTTTTCTGAGGAGAATTTATCGAAAGTGTACACTCGCAAATGTTGTTCCGAGCTATCCCAAGTTTAAAGTTGACATAAATATTGACCTTTGCAATAGTTAACACGACCTTGCTATTATCGATTTTGTGAAAATTCAAAATGATGTGTTTTTTAAATGTTTCGTTATTCATGCACAGAGCGGACGCAATTTATAAGCGCTCTCGAAATTTATTTGCGGAAATAAATTCTGCTGTTTTGGCTTGCTTCAAATCTAGTTTGTCCTTACAGCTGAGGTTTGGTTCATGTTTGTAGGCGTGTCTTTCCCCCCTAATAATTGTTACGCATTTCCCATTTTCGTCCTCCCTCCCATCCGTGTCCTCTAGCTGCAGAGTAGCATCCGGGAGCACAAGGACACCTGTGGAGGTGTGTTTGAGCGCTTCC